CACTAAGTGAATGATTCAAATCGTAAAATATCTTCACCTATGCATAAGGCTGCCAAGTGAACCAAGAGTCATCATCTGGTATTTTGAACATGGTGGGGAAATGTTGGAGAATTTTCAAAATGGTTTTTAAAATGTATAGTTTAATTTTTGGATGTTTTCAAAACCTTCCTTGTTTTTCTTTGGAAAGCTTGAAACAAGTTTAGAGACTTTGTCCCACATTGGAAAGAGAGGAAAACATTGAGCACTTAATAAAGTGTTACATGGAATATTTCTTTGAATATGAAATTGTGAGGTGAAAGCTAGTGTGCATGCACCCACACTGTAAGGATGGTGCTTCGCACCATCCGCACATGCACACGTATACGCGCGCGCGCACGACTTGGGCAGTGGGTTGTATGATGTTTGATGGCGCACTTTGCACTTTGCACGGACGCATCAACGCCATGAGGGCGCTTTTCTATTTGCATCGGACAAGTTGAAGTGATGACGTGGATCCAACGTGGCATGAGTAATGTGGAATACAGTCAGCTCCACATGGCGTCCGTTAGCGATGAGTCAACCAACCGATTGAACGGTTGCGTGTCTGATCTGGAGCGGTTTGATCATAGCCGTTGATTGGAGATGCGCACAATCGTGCAGATGAGATAACACCCAATCGCGATCAGGTGTGATCAGTTAAAGCAGCTATTCGATATGAGAATGATTTGCACCATAGATCGTCGATCCAACGGTCAGATCTGATCGAATGCGATCAAGAGACATGACCATTCGATCAGATCAATCAAGGCCTATAAATAGGCTGCGAAATCAACCATTTCATTATATCCAAAAAATTCAGAAGCATTCCTGCCTGCAATTTTCTCTCTCTCACTCTTGATTTTGAGTTTTCGATCAAGAGTTTCTTAAGCAAATTTCTCATTTTCTTACTGGTAATCAAGTTCTGCAAATTTGATAATCAGTGTCTTGGTTTTCTTGATTATATCAAGAGTATTCTGATCTATTATCGTCAGTATAGACCCCGGTAGATTTGATCATTAGATCAGGTTTCAATATATCCTGGAGGCAAATTTGCTGCAACCCCCTGCACATCTTTTGGTGGGTGCAAATATTGTCTTTAGGAAAACGACTTAGTAATGCGACTTGAAGCACCAAATTTCTGTTCTACATAGACAAGATCATCGCCAAGTTTTGACGTCCCGAAGACCACCAACTGAAGATTTCAAGACAAATTATTCCAACACACAATAAGTCTACAGACACAAATTAACCACCAAACCATCCACATAAAACATTCATGGCCATACATATGAGGTAGTGGAGCCCTTATAAAAGAAACCGTTTCACTCAGATTGTTCCACCTATGTTTTATGTGGTTGGTTCTATGGTGGATTCTGTGTCTATAGACTTATTGATTTCACCATGCCAATCATTGGAACCATGTTGTCATTTTCCATTCCTAACCACTTCTTACATTAATCAAAGATGAAATTTGCTTGAAAATTGTTCACTTTTGAAAAGCTCATTTGTTTATTATGACCATTGAGTAATAATCATGTCCATGCATATGTACTACACAAGGTATTTCAAGTACATCATATAATTCTTTTAATCAGTATTTCCTACCACATATGAGTTGATTTTCAGACTGAAGAAGACGCTCTTTAGCATAACTTCTCTTCCCTAATTAAAGCTCTATTTTGTAATCAGGATGAATATGAAGATAAAGAGGCATACCTTGAAATATATGACAGTGGCAATGAGGATAGCGACATATAAAGCAAATAGAACCTATTACTTTTGCAATTTGCTAGTCATAAGAAAGTGAATTGTTTGCTATCACTATAAAAACATTAACTCCTTCCATACATGCAACTGTTACTGTAGATAGAGGGTGCAATCAAACTTGTTGCATGTATAACTGAATTTTTCGCTGCAAATTATGGCTATAGTTTCATGTATCACAATGAGCACACTACCTCTCACTTCATCCATGGTTTGGCAAATAGTATATAATTATTATGATGATAGTTGGGGAACTCGAGATTGATTTTGTTAACATGCGTGTTTGCATTTCCAAAGGACAATATTGTCAGCCAGTTTAAGAATTCTCTAGATGAAAATCTCCCTTGTAAGCAGGTTGTTCCTTGATCTTATTCAACTCGACACTGCATTGTTCACAATGCATTTTTCTATAAATAGAGTCAATAGTGTGGTGTTGTTTTACTCAGATTTTTTTTTTTTTTTTTTTTTTTTTTTTTTTTTTTTGGGTGTTGGAGGCTACAGCTTGGGACAAGGGCCCTTAATCTTGTTTGTTGGTTTCGGCTTTAGTCTCCATTAAAAAATTTTAATTTGACAAGTTATTCGGCATGTATTGAAATTTATGTGCTAGAGTTTGACTAAGTTATTACTTTAAAAATTAAAGTTTGCAATTTAAAATTTAATGTTATTATTTATTACACTTATATATATATATATATGGAACAGGGGTCTCTGCTGTGCTCAAAGCATAACAGTGACTGTGGTGCCTCTATTTGAGGTGCATTATGGTCTTATTTTTATGATCTAAACCATTCATATTGTAGAGTTTGTTAAGTACTTCATGCCTACCAAAAATCATATTAATCGGATATCAATAACTATATGATCGAATTGCATATTTTTTATGCTATTTCTTAAAAGAAAAACTTATTATTTAATTTTTTGGTTATCGATCATATAGTTGTTGATATCCGATTAAGATGATTTTTGGTAGGCATGAAGTACTCAACAAACCTTACAAAATAACAATTTAGATAATAAAAATAAGACCATAATACAGCTCAAATAGAGGTATCACAGTCACTGCTGTGCTTTGAGCACAGCAGTGACCCCTCACTACTAAAATTTTAGTTTTTTGCGACGGTAAAATGTCGTCGCTAATACTCCTAATGCCGTCGAAAAAAACTTTTTGCGACGACAAATGACCTTTTGCGACGACAAGAGGGGGGTCGCAACTGGGGGCGTTGCAAAAGAGTTTTTGCGACGGCACAGTACCGTCGCTAATGTTTTGCAACGACATTTTTGCCTTTTGCGACGGTACTTTGCAGTCGCTAATAATGTTTGAAATTCCTTTACTTTTTTGCGACGGCACTATTTTACCGTCACTAACAATGTTATTTGAGACGGAAAAAAATGTCGTCGCTAATAATCTTTTTTTTTTTGCAACATTTTTGCGACGGTGTGATGCCGTCGCAAAAAGTATTAAAAAAATATGAAAATTTCTATTTTGCGACAGTGTACTACCGTCGCAAAAGTTTTTAAAAAATAATAAAATTTCTATTTAAAATAATAAAATTTCTATTTTTTGCGACAGTTTAGTGCCGTCGCAAAAAGTAAAACCTGTAACAAAATCAATAAAAATATTAAAATTTTCTTTTTTTTGCAACGGTGTAGTGTCGTCACAAAAAAGAAAAAAACATCCTACAATAAAATTATTAAAAATATTAAAATTTCTTCACAATAATATAAAAATTCCTATATAAAAATAACAATTTCTCTATAATAAAATATTCTTCCATTCATAATTACACATCAACAAAAATATCCCACTGCATAATATTTCATAATACATATATAATGTTTAAATATATGATTTTGTTCATAATTCAAAATAACATAAACCAAAATTAAATGTTTCTCATCATTCTTCGTAGATAACAAAAACAAAAATTAGCCAGATTCTCCACAAACATGCATTCCACAAGAAGCAACTCCTATATGGGAAATATCTGAAAAATAAAAATAAAAATTATTAATGACAATATAATTATGTGTTAATGTTAATTACAAAAAAACATAAAAATTTAACTACTATAGCATCAAATACAATATTTTTTTTGTTAGTCATCAAATCTCACATGGATAATTAAACATCTCAATCAAATACAAAAATAAAAATTTAACTACTATCTCAATCAAATAGACATTCATTATATCAAAACTGCCAAACAGCTTCTTGCAAACTTCACAACCACCGTAAAAGCTACAATGACTTCACAGACTTCCATGACAAAGCAAAATCCAACCAGAATTGGGTTCAGTACATATATTTTTAATAAGTAACATGGAAGTTTTATTTTAGCCGAGTGTATTCTAATTTTTGGCCTAATTCTTCTTTTGATGATCGATTCAACCTTATATTTCAACTCACCAACAAGTTTAGTGATGAGCGTAACAGCCCTATTGTTCTAATGGAGAAAAAAAACCTAAGATTAGCTTTCTAGGAAATTTCCAAATGAACCAAATAAAAAGGCATCAAGGAAGTTTCACCTGTATATACTAAATGTGTGTATACATATATATGAACTCTCCAGATAAAGGTCCTCCCTCTCTTTAACCTAATCAAACAAAATCTTTAATGATAACTATTTAACACAACCACATAATCCATGCCTTCAAAAGAGTGCCCTTTCTATCCCCAAGTACACCACATTTTTCTTTTTCTTTTTTTGATCAGCTTCTGTCCCCAAATGCACCACATCAATCAAAGAGGAGCAAAATTTCAATTCTTGTTGCTTAGCTTACCAAAAAACACCCTTTTCACCCACTAATAACTTCTGCTAACATTCTGGACAACCCTCATAAAGCCTCAGAATCAAGGCCCACAGATGGCTAGCAATACAAAAACATACCAAGTTGAAAATTGAAATCCACTGTGAAAATAAAAAATAAGATTTAAACAACTTCCTAGTAAGTGATAGTAATATAAAATAAACAATAAAACACAATTCTACCTCTGTTTCATAGGTTGCCTTGCATTGTAAATTGAAATCCACTGTGTGGCAGGAACTCCTAGACGAACCTTCTTCTTAGGGAGCCCATCCTCGTCCTCCTCAATATTCAATCTACTTCGTTTTTGACCAACTTGATATACAATCTACCAATGATTACACAAACAGGATTTGTTAATAGCAAGGTACACAAGAAAAGGAATCATAGTCATAAATTCAAAGATCACCAGAATCACCTTTTGAGCACCATCAGTGTTTATTGGCCTTATAGCAGGATTTGGTCCAATCAGTCCCTCGAACAGGGAGATTTGCTTGAAATAGTTAGGCTCTTCATCAAATTTCATGTTAATCACAATTTCAAGAAATTGTTTTAGTGGTGCAGGGCAGAAGCAGCACATCATTTCAGGAGACGTTGCCATCTTCTTGATATTATAGGTCTCTATCGAGAGAATTGGCCATTAACTAAAGTATTTTATTGCTGTCTAAAGTCAGGATTATGGTTACTTTAACAATCTGGACCCACCAACCAAAGATCAAAAACAGAAAAAGTGAAGACCTTGTTACTAATATACAATGATTCAAAAAGATGTAAAATCTTTAACCATTCTACAGTTGTAGATCACATTGTAACCAGTTAATCATGAACTACAAAAGCATGATTCCCCAGATATGTTACCTAGAAAGTATTTATAAAGTGTCTTTCAAAGGGAATTATTTGAATATAACATGCGAAATTGATGGTACAATAAAATAAAGTACAGAGAAGGAAAAGTTGTTAAAATAACAATCAAACTGTAAGATCCCACTATTAGCAATTTAGCATTATTCAAATTACATCAATAAACTCTAGTTTATGAGATTCAAAGCAAACAACCACAGACTTCAATCTGGATATTAAAATAACAAAGCAACCAATCACATCCCAATGTTTGGCATTACAGATAATTATTCTGATTCAAAAAGATTAATTCTATATCAGCAAAATCACTCATTAACAAAACCAAGCAGTCATAGAGAGCTAATCAAGTTGTTTGAAGTTGACCAAGTGAACCTATACTATCTACAGTATTAAATAAAGCACACAACTCATAAGATTTTGAAGGTTTGTTAAGCTATTCTTTTTTCTTCCAAAAGTACACATATTGTTAAACAGTTATCAATTTCAATCCATTTTCCTCATTTAACAAATCACCAAAAAATGTATATGTAAAATTGCAAACACATCACATTTGCACTTATTCTGCCAAAAATACACACATATTGTTAAACAGTTATCAATTTCAATCAATTTTCTTCATTTAACGAATCACACAAAAAATTGAGATGTAAAATTAGATATAATTTATGTTAAATTACAAATGCATCACATTTGCACCGACAAGCTAGTTTTTAAAAAAGTTACTAGACCCCATCAAGTACTCTGCCAAAAAGAAAAACTGATAACAAAAATAATAAAAATACAAAGCAAAACAAGCTATATGGCTAGAAGAAACCAACAGTGTGACACCAAAGAACAACCCAACAATCAAACAGTCAATTTTTCTCAAAAACCCAGATCATAACAAGCCATTATCAAACAGATCTACCAAATTGACACCCAAAACACATAGCTGCATCAAGATCTAAACTTTATCATTAAAAAACAAAAACCCAGATTAAAAAACAAAAACCCAAATAGAAGGAAGACTCACAAAGCAATCATCGTCAATGGTAAAGATATACTTCTTCTTAGAAACCATATACCCAAAGCAGCGACAAGCAGAGTCCTTGAAGGAAATGCAAGAAGCCTTAGGACCCAAAATCCTGTTAATATCGTTACGATTATAGAGCTCGTAATCGAACCCATTAGGGACCTTGATAGTCTTCGAAGGGTCACCGTCCTGGACAATGATTCTCTCGATCAGCCGGATGGTTTTCAAACTCTTCAAACCTCGCCAAGGGAGTCTCTTTGCTCAAATGCATGTTAGTATTCAAGGATTTGTATACCAGACGGGGAGGCGAGGAGGCTTCGAAGGGTCTAGAAGGAGAGAGAAGAAATGAGAAACTGCTCGCCGCCGTCTGCAACCGCTCACTGGAGAGAGAGAGAGAGAGAGAGAGAGAGAGAGAGAGAGAGAACCCTAAAAAGAGATTAGGGATTTTTGGTTTTTGAGATTGGGGATTTTGGGTTTTTGGGGGGGATTTTGGTTGAAGATGTTGGGGATTTTGGGTTTTGGGGGGGCGAGGGGAGAACCCGATTGGGGATTTTGATTGAACAGATTGGGGATTTTGGGTTTTTGGGGGGAGGTGGAGGTGGGAGCGGGAATGGAAAACAAGAAACAGATTGGGGATTTTGGGTTTTGGAGGAGGGGGAGCGGGAATGGAAAGAGAGAGGGGGGAACCGGGCGGGAATGGGAATTTTTTTTTTAAATTTTCATCACAAATAAATATTTAAATAATAAATCGGTTTTTTTTTTCACGACGACAACAAAATTTATTTTTTGTTAAAATAATTTTTTTATAGTTAATGAATTTTTTTATTTATTTTTCATTTTTTTTAGTTATTAAGGTTAAAAATTTATTTGTTTCATTTTATTTTAATGAATAAAAAATTATTATTATTATTTTTATTTGGTAAAAGTAGGGATAATATTTTAATGAAAAATATTTTCTATTAAAATAAAGTTAATTTTTTGTGGTCAATGAAAAATATTTTTTTGCGGCCCTTTTTTTTTTTATACTAAAAATCAATAACTAATTTTTTGTGGTAGAGGATAGGGAGTGGCAGTAGTGGTGAAGGTGGTAGATAAGAGGTGATAGTGGTGATGGTAGTGGTGGCGAAGGAGATTAGTGGTGAAGTTGTGGTAGTGGTAGAGGAGATAGGTTAGCGGTGGTGGTGGAGAGGTAATGGTAGTAGTAGTGGTGGTAGTGGAGTAGTAGCGATGGTGGTAGTAATGATAGTCGTAGAGGTGGAGTGGCAACAGTGGTAGTAGTGGAATGGCATTTGCAGTAGTGGTGAAGATGGTAGAGGAGATGGGTGGTGAGAGAGAGAGAGAGAGAGAGAGAGAGAGAAAGACATAGTGATGAGCGAAAGAGAGACAAAGTGGTCGCTAAAAGTGCATTTTCTTGTAGTGGAGAGCTCGGTAAATAGAAAAGATGAGAGGGAGAGAGTGAGCAAGGTGAACACAATGGAGGAGAGAGATAGACAGATAGACAGACACATAGAGAGAAAGAGAGAGAGAGAAGAGTGATGAGTGAGAAAGAGACAGAGAAAGAAAGAGATATAGAGGGAGAGAAAGAAACAGAGAGAGAAATAGATAGAGAGAGACAGACAGATAGAAAAAGAAAGAGAAACAAGAGATGAACGAGAGATAGACAAAGAGAGAGAGAAAGAGAGCGAAAAGTGATGATTGAGAGAAAGACATAGAAAAATAGAGAGACAAGAGAGAAGAAAGATGAGTGAGAGAGACAGAGAGAGAGAAGAGAAATGAGCGAGAGACAGAGAGAAGAGAGATGAGAGATGAGCGAGAGACAATGAGAGAAAGAGAGACAGAGACAAAGACTGACAGACAGAGAAGAGTGATGAGTGAGAGAGACAAAGAGAGAAAGAGATAAAGAGTAAGAGACAGAAAAATAGACAAAGAGCGAAGAGAGATGAATGAAAGAGACATAGAGAATAGAGATAAGCGAGAGAGACATAGAGAGAAGAGAGAGATAGAAAGAAGAGAGATGAGCGAGAGAGATAGAGAGAAGAGATATGAGCGAAAGAGACAGAGAGAGAAGAGATAGATGAGTGAGAGACACAAAGAAAGAAAGAGAGACAGACAGACAGAAAGAGAAGAGTGATGAATGAGAGAGAGAAAGAGAAGAGAGAGAGGAAGATGAAAAAATGGGTGAAAAGAGATAGACAGAAAAAGAGAGAGAAAAAGAGCGAAAAGAGATAAATGAGAGAGAGAGAGATGAGCGAGAGAGATTAAGAGAAGAGAGACAGAGAGAGAAGAGAGATGGGCGAGAGACACAGAGAGAAAGAGAGAAAGACAGAGACAGACAGACAGACAGAGAAGAGTGATGAGTGAGAGAGAGAAAAAGAAGAGAGACAGAGACAACGACACAAAGAGAAAGAGACAGACAGACAGACAGACAGACAGAGAAAAGTGATGAGTGAGAGAGAGAGAGAAAAAAAAAGAAGAGAGACAGAAACAGAGATAGAGAGACAAGAAGATGAAAAAATAGGTGAAAAGAGAAATATTATATAAAAAGAGTAAGACGACGTCGTTTTTTTTTTTTTGTGACAAAAAAATACCGTTGCATTTATTTAAACTATTTTATGACTATATATATATGAAGGCGTCTCAAAGCCACAATATATATATATATATATATATTTTACTCTTTTTTTTTTTTTTTACTCGCAATTTTTTATTTTTATTTTTTTTTGCGACTGCAGCTGGTGCTGTCGCAAAAATTTTATTTTTTTTGCGACAGCAATCTCTGCCGTCGCAAATACTCTATTTTTTTGCGACAACAAGTTGTGCCGTCGCAAAAAGTCAATTTTTTTGCAACGGCAAGTTGTGCCGTTGCAAAAAGTCACATTTTTTGCGACGACAAATGTGTCGTCGCAAAAAGTTCCGTCTCTTATGCCCAATTTTCTTGTAGTGCCTTTTCCTATATATATATATATATATATATTTTGAGAACTACACATGTTATATTTATGGTAGTGGGCTGGTAATGACGTGATCAGTAGTGGATTGATGGTGACATTGTTGATTATCTAGCGGTGATGAAAATGACTATAATTGTGATAATAAAGTAGTGGTGGTGTTGGACTATAATTGTAAAATTAATGTGTTAGTTATTGCGTTATTAGCGGTGCTGGCGGTGATGGTGAGGGGATGATGTCGGTGTAGTGGTGGTGATTTAAAAAATCTTACTTTGAAAAATAGTTTTATTTGAAATAAACTTGTTTTTCACACTAGTTTCCTTTTTTCGTTATTGTAACACGAGGTAGCGCATCAAACAAAAGTATGACGTTTTGAATAACCTAAATAAGTTATATTTTCTTTAAATTTTTTTCGTTTTAGTGACTTTTTTTAAAAAATTTTTGTATAGAGAAATCTAAAAATTAATTTTTTTTTTGGAAAATTCTAAAATAAATAAATAAATAAGTCAAAATAAGTTTAAGAAATTCAATATTATTGACTTATTTTTGTCTTTTTTGATTTTAATTTTTTTTTAATTTTTCGACTTATCTCATCGAATAGAATTTACAAGTTAAATTTTTTTAAAAAAATCATTAAAATAAAAATAAACTTACAAAAAAAGCACTGAAAAATCAACCCGCCCAATGTTATGTGTTAACATGTATTTAAATTATTTTATGTATTTAGGATTATTTTGAAAACTAATTATTTAAGTTAATTTTTTTAGAAGAATTGACCAGTAAATCCCGTTTTATAGACTTATAATCCATAAGGTCTTAAGTGTTTTTTTGGTGACTGAGTGGTCCCTCAAATTATTTGTTAACTGTTTGGCCATTGTTAATACAGTTGGGGGACAGGTAATATGGTTATGTATGAGGAAGGTGGTAGGGTGTTTGTGTGTCACGTTGTTCGAAAAGCACATTAATAGCTTTTTAAAGTTTGGCTATTTTTAACACGCACAGTGTGAGATGTGAATTCCTTGCTAATTATTTTTTTGTGTGTGACATGAAGACAAACAATAATTCAACCAAATTGGGTTCGCCACGTTAGAATGTCACATGTCACGTTTAGGAAAAGTGCACTAAGAAGTTTTTAATTTTTTTAGAGTGCCACAACATATCCGCCACGTTGTCACATTTGAAAAAAGTATACTAAGAATTTTTTATTTTTTTTGAGTGTCACATCATATCTATCATGTTGTCACATTTAGAAAAAATATACCAAGGATGAGTAAAAAATTTAGAGTGTCACATCATACATGTCACGTTGTCACATTTTTAAAAAAAAATTTTAAAAAAAGTATATTAATGAGTTTTTAATTTTTTTGGAGTGTCATATTAATACCTGCCACGTTGAAGTATCAAACCATACTTGCCACATACTACACCTAATAAAGATTCCTCAATCAACCATTTAAAATGTGGGACCAAATGGTACATAAGTTTCCAAAAATAAGACTTTGTAATAAATTTCTCATTTTTTTATCCATTTAAAAAAATATTTGTAAAAAATAAAGAGACGAATTGATTTTTTAATAATGACTTCTTTTTTTTTTTTTTGACAAAAACTTATCATGTTTGGTTCTAAAAATTAAATTAAAAAAATTCCAAAAATCCAATTTTCCAAGCCAAAGAAATTATGTTTTCTTTATATCTCAAGTGGTTAGATATTTTTTGAAAGGACTTTTAAATTTAACTTAAATTTTGAATTTAGCCCTAATAATCAAGATATTATTTGGCATAAATTAAATAAATGTACTTATTTAGGTCATATTATCTTTATATATATATTTTTATAAAAAATTTAAAAATATATTTATTTAGATTATCCTAAATAATCCTAAATAATAGTTACTTTTCTAAAAACATTTTTAAAAAAAATAAATTTTAAAAATTAACTCAAAAAAAGTACAATCCTGGTGAATATTTTTGAACCGAGGTCGAATAAACGGCACAGTCTGGGAGTCCTGAACCGCACTCCATATGGCACAGCCACACGATTAAGGAGAAATGATGACTGTGTTTGGTTACGCGTTTTAAATATATTTTTGGGGAATTTATCAATAATTTTAAATGTTAAATTTCTGAACCAATTGGTTCCAATTTTGTTCTAATAAACCGTTTAGTCCTTGGATATTTTGAGGGACCTTAATGTCTTCATTTAGATGTTATTAGATGCATGTGCTTTATGAGGGTGTGTCACATGTCACACACAATATGTCACGTGACACACACAATTGACACACACAATGGGTGCCACACATCAATGAAGTATACCGAGGCTCTTTATGAGGATGTGTCACGTGACACACAATATATCATGTGACACGCACAATGGGTGTCACGTATCAACAAAGTACACTAAAGCTCTTTATGCTTTTTGCCTTGGAATGATGTATATCACGTGACACACACAATGGGTGTCACACATCAACAAAGTACACTAAAACTCTTTATGCTTTTTGCCTTTGAATGATGTATGTCATGTGACACACACAATGGGTGCCACACATCAACGAAGTACACTAAGACTCTTTATGCTTTTTGCCTTGAAATGATGTATGTCATGCAACACACACACGGAAGGGTATAATTGACCGCTCAATGTTACTAAACAAAGGAAATAGGATCAAATGGTAAGATATTTCCCCACTAATAGGACTAATCCAAACAATATAAATAACCTTAGGATCAATCGGTAAAACTGTTTGTAAGATAGGATTTATTGATAAATATCCCTGTATTTTTACTCATTTATTTAAGTGTAGTATTTATTTTGAACTTTAAAATTATAGTTTTATATTTATTTTTAAAAATTTCTTTTCAGACGAAAAAATTTGGCTAACATGGTCGTCCTCCCGGACGTCCAGCTGGTTGACTGGAATAATATTCGGTTTTTTTTTTTGAACACCTGTTATTTTTATATTGTAAATAAAAAATATTTTTGAAATTTTTGAAATTTTTATATGAGTTTTGAATAGAATTTTAGGTTGTGTGTTTGGTTATGAGTTGTAAATTTTTAAATCAAATAATTTTTCTAATTTCAAAAATTCAAAACTCCCTCTAAAATTCAATTCAAAACTTATAACCAAACAAAATTTTCACACTAAAATCATAATTTCAAAACTCAAAAACTCAAAATATTGCTTTATTTTCAAATCATATTTAGAAAATTCTACAAAATGCTACCTATGGTTTTGTTTGGAGCAGTTTTCTAAAACTAATTTCACCCTTACATTCTAATATTATTTTTGGTTGAAGTTTTCAAATCATGATATCAAATTAATTTCAAAACACATTTTGAAAACATGCTTGGTAAACCAGACAATTTTTTAATTTTAGTTTACCCGGTCGTCCACCTGGATGTCCGACCAGTCGTCCAAAACAAGATTATTTTTTTGCAATTGTCAATCGCTACCTTTTATTTGGGGAAAAAAAAATTTTATATTTCTTTTTGATATTTTTTAAATATAGAAATTATTTTTTTAAACCAAAATAATAAATTATTTTTTTAAATTGAATTTTAAAAAGAGTTTGATTATGAGTTTTGTGTAGAATTTTCAATAGAGTTTTGAGTTGTATGTTTGGTTATGAGCTATAAATTTTTTAATTAAGTTTTGAAAACTCATAACCAAACAATTTTTTTCATTTCATATGTTACATTAAAAATTTAAAACTCAATTCAAAACTTTTTTCAAAATTCATAATCAAACAAATTTTATCTTTTCAAATCATAATTTTAAAACTCACAAATTCAAAATACAACTCTACTATCAAATTATAATTCTAAAACTCTACTCAACACTATTTTATCTTAGGATAAAGTTATGTGATGTTTCAAATGGAATTTGATTAGTAAAAATAGTAAGGTCTCGTTTGGCAAGTGACTTTTTTAGTTATAAAGTTACTAAGTTACTAAAAAAATAAAAAAATCAACAACTTATTTTTTCATAAAAAGTTAAAAAGTCATCTTAAATATACTAATTTTTTTATATCACATTTTAGTTAAAAAGTCAAAAAATTACTAAAAAAAAACCTATTTTTATGTCTCTTTTGGAGATAAATAAATAAGTGTCCAATCTTAAGTGGATATCCAATCTTAAGTGGACAGAGCAATACTTTATTTTTTTGGGTGAATATATAGAGCAATACTTATCCACTACATTCTCACGATTTATTTATTATTTTAATAATTTTTTGATATTTTTTTAAAAAATATAAAAAAATAAAAAACGTGAAATAATAATTTAAAGTGATTTTTTAATTAAAATTAAAAAAGAAAAAGCCTCCGACCCCAGTAGGGGTATTGGTGATTTTTTTTTTTTTTTTTTCAAAATTGCTCACGAGGCTGAATCTCAAGCTGTTCTTCAAGTTCTTTCTCAGCCCCTTCTCTCTTTCTTCCTCTCTCTCTCTCTCTCCTCCTCTTGCGTTCAAACTGTAAAACAAAGAATTTTTTTTTTTGGATTAATCTCAGCCATTGACTTCATTAGTGGGACAGGTGTCGGGCTGTGAAGGATCACTCTAGAGGATCACTTCATCACTTCACTCTAGAGGATCCCAACGCGATGAAAAGGCAATACCTCACCGGGGTTGTCAGTGAGTGGGCCCACTGGGGTCGATAGCACGGCTCAATTAAAAATTGCGAAACGATGCGAGTCGCCCAAATGACTGACAATAAGCCACGTCACCTCCCGCCATTTCCTAGTAGCACAATGTCGTAATTAACCTTAGCAGTTTACATAGGTAATTAACACACTCCCTCGGGTGCCCCCAAGGAACAGTTCCAACAATACATTTCTCTTCTCCTTCCGCTTCGGGTTCCTCCTCGAGTCTTGCAACTCTGCTCCGCTCCGCTCCAGAACAAGTTACGGAAAATGCCACCGCAAACCAGAAGAATGGCGTTCCCGAACGTAGTCATCGAGCGAGACACCGATTCTGAAGAAAGCTCATCATCATCAGACGAAGAACAAGATGTAGAAGAAGAGGACAACAACGACGACCTAGAAGCTGAAGAAGAAGAAGAGGTTGAGAATGGAGACACAGTCGAAGAGGTCAAGGTCGAGGTCTCTGCGGCGAAGAAGAGAGAGAAAGCCCCGATCACTATCAGTCTCAAGAAAGTCTGCAAAGTAAAAGCCCCAATCTCTGTTTTTTGTTTCACGAATTGTATTCGGAAACTGATTTTTGTTTTTTTGAAAACACGGAAAAAATCAAAACGAAAACGCAAGCAAAGATGGTCTGTATGTATGGGTGTTATTGTTAGATATTGGTGTTGTTTTGTAGGTGTGCAAGCGAACGGGTCATGAAGCGGGATTCAAAGGGGCTACTTACATTGATTGCCCTATGAAACCCTGTTTTCTCTGCAAAACGCCTGGTAATCTTCTGTTTTATCTACTTCCTTAATCTTTCTTTCATTTTATTTTTATTTTTAATGTGTATATTTTGAGTAATTTCAGTTTTTTTAGAGTATCTCTCCAATCGTCACTCTTTTTTTTTTTTTTTTTAATTTTTAATTTTGTTTTAATATCAAATTTGAGTGAAAACTTGGTTGGTTTTGAAAACTTCTAAACTTATCCTTAAAAGCCTGTTTTGAGAACTATCTCAAATTATTGTACGTCTTAAATTTTCATCAAATTTGAGTTAAAAAAAAATGACTCTTAGAAATTTGGGAAAGGATTTGATTCATTCTTAGGTGAAAAAATTGCCTCTCCCTTGATTTGATACAGATTTGATGAAATGGTTGGAGGCTTGGAGCAGACTTTTAGCAATTTTTTCGTCAATTTTTAATTTGATGAAAAAATTGATGAAGGATTGGAGATGCTCGTATGACCATTTTTAAATTTGCAAATACAGTTTTTCTAATATGATGCCAATTATTTGTTTCCTCTGTGGGTTGGGGATTGAAGGCCACACTACAATGACTTGTCCGCACCGAATTGCTACTGAGTATGGGGTAATCCCAGCACCCCGTAGACACACTCATAACTCATTGGATTATGTCTTTGAACGCCAGCTTAGACCCAACATCCCCGCAGTAAGCCAAACCTCAACATTATGCTCATGAATTCTGTGTTACTCGAAATTTTCTTACCATATCAGAATGAATGTGTACGTAAGGTTATATGTGATGCTATTTCTGCAGCAGTGTTTCATCATCATCTGTCCATATTTTGACGTTATTGAGTCTTCATGAAATTGCTAAGATGACAACTGAGCTTAAGAAACAAAAAATGATCTTTATGTATCTGCATTACATAATTGAATACATGATAGTGTGACCAGTTGATAATGCCTGAAATCTCTATACCTGTTGGTTTTAGATTCAGAAGTGTTAATCATCCTTCTCTTACGTCTACAATATATATTTCATATATATATATATATATATTGTTGGATAAAAGAGTTACAAACAGTGATTGATTAACAAGAATGAGTAAAAAGTAGTGAAAAGAAAATTTATTGAAAAAAAAAAATAGAGTATGAAACGTTGAGGCACGGAACTTATTCCGTTGTCCTTAAGAAACGATTTTGCCTCCACTCAATGATAATTGAATACATGATAGTGTGACCAGTTGATAATGCCTGAAATCTCTATACCTGTTGGTTTTAGATTCAGAAGTGTTAATCATCCTTCTCTTACGTCTACAATATATATTTCATATATATATATATATATATTGTTGGATAAAAGAGTTACAAACAGTGATTGATTAACAAGAATGAGTAAAAAGTAGTGAAAAGAAAAATTATTGAAAAAAAAAAAATAGAGTATGAAACGTTGAGGCACGGAACTTATTCCGTTGTCCTTAAGAAACGATTTTGCCTCAACTCAATGCAAATGGATTTTTGGCAGTTGTTCTCCAGGATTCAACGACGAGTCTTGTTGGTGTGCACTCACCAATCAAGGCTACGAACTCGTGTATAGAATAGCCCAAGGAAACAGATAAACAGTGACAGAAATTTGAGAAGAGGACTAAATATTTTTTGTCTATCATCAGCAGAATGTTTATGCTCATATATATATAGCTTGTCAAAGCTAGGAGGAAAAGGAAACAAAATTATATATATGGATATCCCAAAACATATCCCTTAAATTATGTTAAGGGCTAATCAACTCCAAAGTCAAGCTTCAACTAAAAAGGAAAGGTAATAAATGACTTAAAATATAAAGAAAAGATTTTAAAAAATGTTTTTTTGATTTCACACAACAATGTGCGAGTATATATATATATATATATAAATTTGAAGCATCTCCAACAATCCCCTACATGATTCAAATTAAAAAAAAGGATAGAAAAGGATAATAAAAATTTTAAGTTTGGGCTTGACTTGAAGTGCATTAATGTCAATGTCTCGTGGACTTGAATCGAAATTTAGTGTTTATAGAAAGTGAATAACTAGTGAAAGGTGACACAAGTCTTGAACCCTCCACTTTGGGGTGATTCAACAATACTGCACACACACCTCAAGTATTCATGACGAGTTCTAGGATTGGCGCTTTGAAGGCCGTGCACCTTGCCTAGATTTTTATGAGTGCTTTAGAGAGTTAGCACTCATTCTCATAGAAGGCGGCCCAACCTTCACACCTATATAGGTGAACCCATCAAGCATGTGCTGCTCCACACTACCTTTACAAGCTATGAGTTCATTAAGAGCTCCTAGCTCAACCTTATTTAATTTAGCAGCTTGCACTATCTGCATCATAAGGAGAGACATAGAAATTAGTGCTATACTAAAGCTCTCTGTGACTTGTTACCCATTGAACCTGATTCATGGGATCTCCAATCGCACAAGTTGGGTTGCATTCACAGGTGACTCACTCAATGGGCTTAAGTCCCATCCCCCTCGATGCATCATATATTACCTTCCTGGTTAGTCCTTTTGTCAGAGGGTCTGCTAGATTTTTCTCTGATCTCACGAACTCCAATGCTATTACACCATTGCTTATGAGCTGTCGAACAATGTTGCGCCTTAGACGTCTATGTCTCATCTTCCCATTTTACACTTTGTTATTTGCTCGAGCTATTGCTGCTTGTGAATCACAATGTAGAGAAATGGAAAGAACTGGTTTTCCCCATAAAGGAACATCAGTAAGAAGATTCCTTAGCCATTTAGCTTCATTACCAGCCATTTCTAGAGCAACACATTCAGATTCCATGGTAGAAGAAGCTTTGCAAGTTAGTTTGGATGATTTCCATGATATAGACATAACCACTAGTTGAATTTGTTTCATCATTATCTGACACCCAATTGGCATCACAAAATCCTTTTAACACAGCTGGATATCCTACATAGTGAAGACCCATGTTCATGGAAACTCTCAGATACCTTCAAAGTCTAGTCAATGCTGCCCAGTGTTATCGACTGGGATTATGTGTGTATCTATTAAGTCTACTTACAACATGTGCTATATCTGGCCGAGTACAATGCATTATATACATTAAACTCCAATGATTTTAGCTTATTTGATTGTCGAACACTAGATCCCTTGTTCTTTTTTAGATGAAAACTAGGGTCATAAGGGGTTTTAACAGGCTCAACATCAAAATGATTGAATTTTTTAAGAAGTTTTTCAACATAATGTGATTGTGTCAATACTAATCCATTTTGTTCACTGATCCCTAGAATAACATCGGTTTCTCCTAGGTCTTTCATGTCAAAGTTTGATGATAAAAAGACTTTGGTCATGTTTACAATGTGCAAATTAGTGCCCACAATCAACATATCATCTACATATTATCATATAATCACACAAGCATAATCAGTTAATTTACTATATACACAACTATCAGATTCATTTACTACAAAACCATTTGAAAGCAAGGTTTTATCAAATTTCTCATGTCATTGGTTAGGGGGCTTGTTTTAGGCCATATAGAGATTTAACAAGTCTACATACTTTTTGTTCTTGTCCTTGAATTACAAAACCTTCAGGTTGGTCTGTATAGATTTCTTCTTCTAATTCTCCATTTAAAAATGCAATTTTTACATCTATTTGATGAATAATCAATTTATGTATAGATGCTATAGGAATTAACAACCTAATAGTAGAAATCTTAGTAACAGGGGAATATGTGTAAAAATAATCTATTCTATCCTTTTGTGTATAACCCTTGGCAACTAATCTAGCCTTAAATTTATCTATTGATCCATCGGCCTGTAGTTTCTTCTTAAACACTTTGCAACCTATGGATTTACATCCTTTAGGTAAATCTACTAATTCCCAAGTGTGGTTAGCCATAATAGATTCTAGTTCGCTGTTTATTGCATCTTTCCAAAAAAGTGGCATCTATGGATTTTATGGCTTCTTCATATGTTTTAGGATCATCTTCGGTGATAAAGGCAGTTATGAAATCTGGTCCAAAGCTAGTTTCAACTCTAGGTCTCTTACTACGTCTTATTTCTTGTGATGTTTCTTCTGAACTCTGCCTAGGTTGGATTGGTGCACTAATCCTGTCAATGTAAGTTTGTTTCATGGGAAAAATATGTTCAAAGAATTTTGCGTCTTTTGCCTCCATTATATTGTTAGCTTCCATAATATCTTTTGCACCTTTTATTTCAAGAAATCTATAAGCTGCATTGTCCTAAGCGTATCCAATAAAAATACAATCTATTGTTTATTGGGCCAATTTTACTTCTTTTAATGTTTGGAAGTCCAACCTTAGCTAGACACCCCCCGCACTTATAGATAGTTCAGATTTGATGAATGTTTCTTCCAGAGTTCATATGGTGTTTTATCTGTTGTCTCATGTGGAATTCTATTTAAAATATGACAAGCTGAAAGAATTGCCTCCCCCTACATGTTAGGGGGTAAACCAGAGCTTATTAGCATTGCATTCATCATCTTTTTAAGTGTACTGTTTTTCCTCTCAGCTATCTCATTCTATGAAAATGAATCCTACTTTGAATCGATTAAATGCTAGGTCATTCCCCCTTAAGTGACGCGTTGTGCCTGCTCCGGGTGTTTCGAAAAGCGAGCAGGGGCGCCACATCGACGCCTGAGTGCGGTGAAAAATGGGCAAAGGTTTTCACGCTTTTCTGGATGAGCACATATAAAGAAGTTAGTTCGAGACTATAGGTTTAGGGTAGTCACATGGAATTTATGTACTTTAATTGGTAAGACTGTAGAATTAGTAGATGTCATGATTAGGAAGAGAGTTAGTATGGCTTGCGTTCAAGAAACTAAGTGGACGGGTGAGAAAGTTAGGAAAATAGAGGATACTGGTTTTAAACTGTATTATAGTGGCAATGATGGACATAGGAATGGGGGTAGGAATAATAGTTGCCAACGGTCTTGTAGAAAAGGCAGTGGCGGTCATTAGGAAAGGTGATAGGATTATGTTGGTTAAACTAGTTATTGGATAGAATATAGTGAATGTTATTAGTGCATACGCTCCACAAGTAGGATTAGATGATCAGACTAAGAGAAATTTTTGGTACCAAATGGATAAGGTATTACAGGAGATACCTATAGGAGAAAAAAGTTATATGGGGTGATTTCAACGGCCATTTTGGAATAGATAAACTAGGTTATGAGAGGGTGCATGGTAGGTATGGTTTTGGTGATAAAAATTAGGCTAGTGAGAGTATATTAGATTTTGCATTGGCTTCTGATTTGGTGGTGGCCAATATTATTTATAAGAAGAGAGATGAGCATTTAATAATCTTTATGATTTGGTCAATTAGGAGCCAAATAGACTACTTTCTAGTAAGAAAAGTGGACCGTCTAAAATGCAGCGACTGTGAGGTGATTTGTTGAGAGAGCCTGACGTCTCAACATAGGATTTTGGTACTAGATTTATGCTTTAAAAAGCAATACCAAGCTAGGAAGGATAGTGGGCGTCGTACGACGAGATGGTGGGACCTAAAAGGGGATAAACTAGAAATATATAAGAATAAAATGAATAAAGAAGGTACTGGGGACTTAGAAGATGATGTTAAAACTATGTGAAACTCGATGGCCAATTGTATGAGGAGAATCTCAAGGGAAGTTTTTGGAGAGTCGAAAGGAAAGCGACCCAACTCTAGGAAATC